TCGTGGCCCCGTTGCTGCCCTCAGTGGCCCCGTCGCTGCCCATTGTGGCCCCGCATTATATGCCCTTCGTGGCCCCCGCTCGCAGTCGCCCGTCGTGGCCCCATACGCATCCCCTTCGTAGCCCCGCTGTCGCCCTTCGTGGCCCTCTCGCTGCCCTTCGTGGCCCGTTTGCTGCCCTCAGTGGCCCCGCTGTCGCCCTTTGTGGCCCCATATACGAATGCCCTACGTAGCCCCCGCTCGCTCGCGCCCGTCGTGGCCCCATATGCATGCCCTTCTTGGCCCCGCTGTCGCCCTTCGTGGCCCTCTCGTTGCCCTTCGTGGCCCCGTTTCTGCCCTCAGCGGCACCGTCGCTGCCCTCTGTGGCCCCGGATTAATTGCCCTTCGTGGCCCCCGCTCGCTCGCGCCCTTCGTGGTTTCATACGCATGCGTTTCGTCGCCCCGCTGTCGCCATTCGTGGCCCCCTCGCTGCCTTTCGTGGCCCACTTTCTGCGCTCAGTGGTCCCGCTGTCGCCCTGTCTGGCCCCATATATGTATGCCCTTCGTGGCCCCCGCTCGTTTGCGCCCGTCGTGGCCCCATATGCATGCCCTTCGTGGCCCCGCCGTCGCTCTTCGTGGCCCCCTCGCTGTCTTTCGTGGCACCGTTTGCTGCCCTCAGCGGCTCCGTCGCTGCCCTCTGCGGCCCCCTAAACGTATGCCCCTCGGGGCCCCCGCTCGTTCGTGCTCGTTGTGGCCCGCGCCAACATCGGTGTGACGTGTTCTGGCCAACAGCGACAGCGCAAATCATCGTCCTCCCTCCTTCTTGCCCCTCCCCTCCCTGCCTCCGATCCCTTCGTCCTCGTTTTCCCCCGTTATATGTTACCTTTCGTTTTCAAGGGTTTCACCAACCACACGTGGCAGGGAATGACTATACCCACAAAAAGGGGGTATATCGAAGACGAACAGGGCGGATATCCAGGGTTTGGGACATGCATACTGAATGACACGCGAGCAGATAAGAGCGAACAGTCTTAAACTGATGATTGTTGTTGTCGTTGTCTATATACAATAGAAACAAACCATACACATCTGTAGACTTGTGTTTTATCAGACCCCGAAGAGGCAGACACCATCATCGATGCGGCTTTCTCTCACGTGAGCAGTTTTCACATTTTACGCCGAAGGCGGCCCAGGAGACCCCTGAAATCGCTTCAAGGCGGTGCGCAATATCCCTAGCGTGTCCCCAGGCTTGTCCCGAGATGGCCCAAAAAGGCCTCTAGCCCCAAGATGGCCCTGATTCGTTCCTCAATAGCACTTGAAATCTTGACCTGGTCGTTGGGAGGACAGTGGTTCACAGCAGGATGGCCCCAAGAAGCCCCAGAAACAGAAAAAGGCACCCATAAGGTCCCGGGACCTAGGAACAGCCCACGAGGCTTTTGATAGGCCCCAGAGGGGCCCAAAGAAACAACAAGAGACCCCCAGCAGGCTTCAAATCAGCGAATCCATACCGAAAGGCATTCATACACCCCTCTTCGGTGTGGTGTAGCAAGGTGAGAGGCTTGCCTCTTTCCGAAGAGGAAGAATCGGGTTGGAAGAGATGCGTTGTTGAACCACCTACGCCCAGGGGGCTGGCTGAAAATACCAATCCACTTCGACGTTGCAATCGCTCGAGCTCGCAGAGCCTCTGCCAGGGCTCGCCCGCCGCCTCGGATCCCCAGCCCAGAGAGGGGAGATGACCAGGGTGGAGAAGTGCATGGCCATCTAAGCAAGCGCGTCTGTGCCAGTAGGGCACGGCAGCGACCGTTTAGAGCCTGGCACTGGCGCGGCAGGTGCCAGTGCCCCGCGGACGGGGTCTGTGGGATAGACTACCTGCCCGCGTTTTGGCTCGTTTGACGCGGAAATGTCCCACCGCAGCTTCCACACTGCCATCGTCTCTCATGTTGTTGCGGCGTGCGCGTTTGGTATGGAAGAGGGATGCTCTTTGAACTTCCGCTGCTTATCGTCTTGTGACGCCCGTCGCTTTCTGTTGTTGACCTTTCCATCGTCCTGTGCTGTCTGTCCCAGCTTCCATTCTGGGTTCCAGAGGCGATGGAGAAAATGCCCTGATTCACCCACCGCACCCTGCTTCAGAGCAGGGTGAGCATGGTTCTCGCAAGGCATTTCAATACAGGGCCTTCCGAGGCCCATCAGGAGGAGGCAGAGAAATGGCTCAGGGGAGGAGGCCACGGGGGGGGACTGGGAGGCGGCGGAAAAGAAGAGTGCCGACCCAGTGCCCAGCTCCTGTCCCGAGGCGAGCGGCTTTTTTCCGTTTTCGTTTCTCGCTCCTGTTCTCCGCCCGTCCTCCACTCGTGGTGACCTCCAGCTCTCTCCGCTGCTTCTGCTGCTCGCTCTCTCTCGCTCTCTCGTTCTGTCGGTCAATCTCTCCTCCTGCTCCTCACCTCGCTGCTCATGGCGCTCGCGCCCGCGACACCGCGGCACCGCCCCGCGGATCGCCCAGCTCCGCGGCGGAGGACCAGAAGATGCGGCGCCAGCGGCAGAAGAAGGATCAGAAGGAGGACCGGGACGAGACCCAGGCGTTCGGAGCCGTCGACTACAGTTAAGAGTGACCCTTCGCCAGAGTGACCCTAGGTGCGGGCCCACTGGTGCCCCCCGATCGCTGAATGCGATGCGATAGCAGCGGCCTGCGCGCTTTGGTTTGGCCCCCCTGGCGGCTCCCCGAAAGTCGCGCACCAAAGGTCACTCTTGGTGAGGCTCACTCTTGCGTGTCGCCGAAGTGGGTGCGGCGCTCATGCTGCGAGCCCCGTCGTGTTCCGTGTCTTCCTCGTCCTCTGTTCACGCATCTCCGCCCGTACGGGTGCGTCCGAGCACATTCGCGTCGGGCTCTCTGCGCCCGTGCACTTGCGCATGTAAGCGTGTGCGTACGCAAACACGTCCACGCATGTGCGCGTGAAGGGATGTGTCGATGTGCGTGTGCCTTCTGGGACAGCCACGTGCACGCTGGCTCCGCCGAGGACGACAAGCCGAGGTTTCACCGATGCAAGCTCCGCATGGATTCTGGAACCACTTGCTCATGCGCACGCGGTCGTTAGGGCGCGCGCGCGCGGGTGCTTCTGACAGGCAGTCATTACGCCATCCGTCATGCTTTCTTCTGCTTCAGCTGAGGCACCGGGCGGATGCCATCCTGAGTGTAGCTGGCGTACGCGCCGTGCGTGCCGCCCTTGGGTCCCTCCAGGGGGTCGAGAGGCGTCGGCGACCAATTTCGCACCCCATCCCTGCGGGTTCGATCGATGCTGGGGTATCGAACACCCCCGGGCCCCCATGGGGCTCATCTGGCTGCAGACATCCTTCGCATTCTGACCCCCCCCCGCCGGCGTTTCGGTAGTCTGACCTGCACGGGCAGGGCTTACATGTGGCTGCCCAGTGTGATGCCGGGCCGGAGAGAACATGGGCACCTGCCGCGAGTGTGTGTGTGTGTGTGAAGAAGTGCCCTGGAACTTTGTATTTTGCAATGGATTTCGCTACCAACGGTTGTGTTTACCTTGGCTCTTAGAACTCACTGGTGCGATGCACTGAAATGTACAGGATGAGTGAATCGCGCCGACGGCAAGAAATTTCCAACGCATATGCAAATGACGATGTACTGCAAAGCAATCAAGGCAGTGCACTGGCCAGAATCGGTGTCAGATCAAGCACATGCCACCTAGGCGGGGTTTAATCTTGCTACTGTCGCGACTTGAACTGGTGCCAGACATGAAGTATATTTCAGTTTTGTTGTGGTGCGGTAGTACGCATCGGATGAATGAGTCATGCCGGTGCCAACGAGGTCTCGACGCGCATGCATTCCTTTGCCTCCTGCGCCGCGCCCTCGTCATGCTCCTCCGCCATCGTCATAGATGCTCCTCGGAGAAAACATGGCATGCAGTGCTTGTGCGGATGGGTAAGGAGGAGGAGGAGGAGGAGGAGGAGGAGGAGGAGGAGGAGGAGGAGGAGGAGGAGGAGGAGGAGCCTCCTTCCTCCTCTTGAGGAGGGCGGATGCAGCGTGCAGCTGGCGCGAGGATCAAGAGCAGGCCGTATCTTCGAGGGATACCCGCATGCTTTTCGTGTTCGGGCTGTTCGCCTTGGAACCTGTATCGCTTTGGTCCTTCTGTGTAAGGGGCTCCTGTTCTGGACCCACGTGTTTGTGGCCCTGTCTCGACTGTGCAGGGCTCGGGGTGTTTTTTTTGTGGCTCTTCCTTGCTGGAGGAGAAGGAAGGACGCCCTCAGAAAGGAGGCTCTCCTGGGCCAGCCAAACCGACACAAGGGCATGACGGACTCGGTTGGGCTCACCCAGGAAGGGTCTTGTCGCTCCCCTGAAGGCTTGGTCTGGGCTCTAGGAGGAGGGGGAACACCAGCTTGCTTGTAATCATCCCGCTAAGTTTATTCCGGATCGACATAATCAATTGGCGTCCTAGGCTAAAGGCTTTCAGGCTGACTGAAGTTCGTGGGTGGTGCGGTGGACCCCTGGCATGGGAGAATCCCCGTGGATGATGAACACATCGTTTAGTGCACAGCCGAGCACTTGGCTTAGCACATCATGCACCAAGGATCAGCAGAACATTGTGTCATTCAGCATATAGCACGGCCCAGCATATCACAGTGCAGTGCATCTGTTTGGATGGATGTTGGCCTGGTCCTTCGTAGTTCCTGCGCCCCGTCGGTACGTCGAGGCGCTGGAGGTGTGAACATGGTTCAGCACCGCTCAGCACAGACTGCGCTGCCTAACGTCGGGCAACTGTGTACTGTCAGCGCAGCTGGATTTGCTGCCGTTCGTCCGACTTTCGGCAGTCTGTGATGGGAAGGACAGGACAGGACAGGAACTGGCCGAGCCTAGACGGCGCATCGGCAGATGATTTGGCAGCTCGTAATGTAAATTTGCGGTGGCGTGCAAGAGTATGCACATGAACAGTTGTGCAGTACCTCGGAGAGGTCGTTGTATTCTTTGTACCAACGAAGTGCTTGGGAAATTTATGATATCTGGCAATGTGAGCTCAAACGTTTCACCCTGGGCGGGGCAGCGCAGCTGTGCTGTGGAAAGCGTGATGGGCCAATTTTCCACCACCACTACCATGTGCAGAACGGGAGAGAAGGGAGAAGGCAGGATGAAGAAGTCCTCCTCCTCTTCCACCCCTCCTCCCCCCTCCTCCTCCTCCTCCTCCTCGTCCTCCTCCTCCTCCTCCCCCTCCTCCTCCTCCTCCTCCTCCTCCTCCTCCTCTCCTCCTCCTCCTCCTCCTCCTCCTCCTCCTCCTCCCCCCTCCTCCGCCTCCTCCTCCTTCTCCTCCTCCTCGTCCTCGTCCTCCTCCTCCTTCTCCTCCTCATCCCTATCCAACTTATGGTGGTGGTGGTGGAAAACAGGCCCATCAAAGCGCTGTCCCTCTCAGGCCCACTGCCAGAAGGAGCCCCCGCGGCCATGCTCGACCTCGGGCTCGGCAGCCCGGCCGCAGGCGCGGAGGAGGCCCAGGTCTCCGCACCCTCGGGCCTGGTCGCCCGGCGGCCCAGCTGGACGAAGCGGCTGCTGGAGCTCGGCGAAGAGCTCAGCCTGGATCTGAGCACTCCCGCCAAGAGCTCGCGGGCCCTCCGGCTGGGTCGTGGCACCGCCGAGGAGTGGGCCACGCCCTGCGCGGCTCCCGGGACGCCCACGGGGTCCCGGTCGAGGAGCCAGTCCTGCCACAGGACGCCGCAGAGGAGCCTCTCCTGCCGCAGCTCGTGCTCGCCGCAGAAGGCGCCGTGGCGATCGCCGCGCTGCCGCGGCGGCGGCGGCCCGCTGAGCGCCAGGAGGCGCGCCCCGCCGGCGATCCAGACGCAGACGCCGACGCCCAAGCTCGCCAGGGCGCGGCGTGCCAGCGCTTGGGGCCTCCGCATCGCCACGCCCTCCAGCTCGCCCCCGGCAAGCCCCCGAGGGGCAGAGGCCACGGGACGGACCCATGGCGAACCCGATGCGGCCCACGGAAGGCCAAATGTGGGCGCTTGTACCGCGGTTTCGAAGTTCTCGTCGGGCTCCAGCTGCTGGGTGGGGCATCCGCATCCCTTGGACCGTCGAGGTCGGCACAGTGCCAAAGGGTCCGTCCGCCGCGGCCGCAGGGGTGCGGCACCCCCCAGCCGCAGCGGAGCGACTTCCGGGTGCTGGCGCCCGATGCGGACGTGGGCGCCGTGCTGTTTGACTTCGACGGCACGCTCACCTCGGTGCCAGGCATGGCTTCCAGGCGCACCCGTCGCCAGCTGGACCTGCGTCAGCGTGCGCCGCTGCTGGAGCCGCGGCTGCGGGCGCTGCGGGACGCTGGTCTCTCCCTGGGGATCATCTCCAAGAGCAGCGAGGCCGGGGCTGGGAATCGTTCCTTCCTTTCTCCTCTGCCAACCTTCCCTCCCCTCTGATTGTGATGATGCTGTTGATGATGATGATGTTGCTGATGCTGATGCGGATGCTGATGTTGATGCTGATGCTAATGATGATGATGATGATGATGATGATGATGATGATGATGATGATGATGATGATGATGATGATGATGATGATGATGATGATGGTGGGGACGATGGTGGTAGTGGTGGTGATGAAGATGCTGATCATGCTGATGCTGATGATGACGACAACCATGCTGCTAATGGTCATGAGGATGATGCTGCTGATGCTGTTGTTGATGATGCTCAAGCTGGCGACGATTATGCAGATGCTGATTATGCTGATGGTGATGATTTAAACGCTGGCGATGCTGATACTGCTGATGATGATGCTGATGATGATGCTGGTGCTGATGCTGTTGACGATGATGATGATGATGATGATGATGATGATGATGATGATGATGATGCTGATGATGATGATGATGATGATGATGATGATGATGATGATCTGATGATGACGATGATGATGATGACGATGATGATGCTAATGATGATCGTGATACTGCTGACGATGACGCTTGTCGTGCAGACGACGATGGTGTTGCTGACGATGCTGATTGTGTTGGAACTGATGGCGCCGATGATGATGACGCTTCTGATGATCATGGCGATGATCATGATGATGACGATGCTGATGGTGATAATGAGGAGGCTGATGATGCTGATGCTGATGTTGTTGTTGATGATGCTGCTGATGATGATGGTAAGGATGTCACCGATGATGCTGCTGATGATGCTGGTGATGATGTTAAGCATGCCGATGTTATGTTGATGGTAGTCATGGAGGTTCTAGAACGGGTTGAGCAGAGGGGCCCTTTAATTGATGTCATCGTGTTGCGCGGCACTCTCAGCCATTGTTGGAGCCCATGCCGCTGCCATTCTCTCACTCAAGTTGTCTTTCGGTCTTGAAACTGGGACCCACATGTTGGTGCTTGGGCAGCGGATCCCGGCGGCGACGCTCGTCTGCTCCATCGCGTCGCTGCTGGGGCAGGGGCTGTTCTGGGCGCAGGCGCCAGAGGGTGGCCTCGAGCCGGGGGTCCTTGCCCCACCGCCGCCGCCTGGGCCAGAGGGCTCGGCGGTGGAGGAGCTGGCCCGAGCCGTGAAGGCTCTGCGGCTGGCCCAAGCGAACGTGACGAGCTGCGCGCCCTGTCCCGTCCTGTCGGCGCTGGAGTGCCCGGCCGAGACGGACCGCTGGGCAGAGCAGCTGGCGCTGGTGCTGCCGAGCCTGGTGGTGTGGGCCCTCTGGGGCCTCCAGGCCTGCCGCAGACGTCGCGACGATGATGGTGGCCCAGCGCGCCCTGCGCCCCCTGCCCGCGGAGGAGGGGTGGTGCGCTGACCTCCCGGTCGGCGCCCTGGTCCGAGTCTCCTACGCTGGGGAGGCCATGGACCACATGCGGGTCATGCTGTGGCCGAGTCGCCGACACAACGCACGAGAGCATGCTCGCCAGCGATATACCTGCTCTCGGCCGACGGCGACGTCTGGGAGGAGGACCTGAGTGGGAAGAACCCCGCGACCGGCCCTTCAGGCGGGTCGCTCCACGCACCAGAGTGCCCGGCTGTCGAGAGTTCATTGGCATAGGGTAGTCGGTCAAGAAAGAGAGATATGCAGTATCGATGGGCGTCAATGGATTCCGCCTGGGCGTCAATGGATTCCGCCTGAACGACTGTGTCATGGCATCTCCGAAAACACCGTGCAGATGGTGCCCGTAGGCTCCTGCCGCTTGTGCTCCCTGCTGCTCCAACCTTGATGTGAGGCCGTATCGTCGTGTCGCTCGAGCATACTTGCTCACGCGATTGTGCATGGCCTTGTGCTTGGTCTTCCGCGCGGACCTACATGCCCGTGCACGGCGAGATCCACCCCCAAGGTCGGCTCCCAGGTATGGTGCCTGTGGCATCGCACGTACCGAAAACCCTTGGGCTCGTATTCGCTTTGCAATACACTTGGCGTCATCCAGTTTCGTGCACACAACCACGCTTCTAGGTGAAATAGAATGCCCAGCACGCTTCATCGAGCGACACGTGTCGACGAGACACCTCACAAGCTTGTTGCGCATCGTCCCTTTGGTGCTCTTGATTGACTGGCTGAGGTCGTCGATCCATATTCTCTGCGACATGTCCACATGTACCGTCGTCAGCCTCTGCATGATGTGATACGTGGCGCACTTGGCGAACCTGGTGCCTCCGCGGAGGCCTTGCACCACTGGCCGAAGTGGTGCAAATGGCTCCGAGTGTGTGCCCGACTGCCTCAAGCACCGCGCCGCAATGCACTGCATCAACTCCAGGCCAAGGACGTCTGCAGGGAACGCGGGCCGCCTTGCAGCTCTGCCGACCATCAGCCATCCGATGGAGTCGTAGAACTGGCCTATGTCGAGTGGGCCGCTGCTGTAATATATATGTGTATATATATATATATATATATATATATATATATATATATATCTGGAGTCCTGCCGCCATCTCCTCATCTATCGCTCGAGGAAATACCTCTCTGATTGCTGCGTTGTTCTTGATGGCTGCATTCCAATGAGCTGCACATCCGGAGATCCATTGCCTCACATACGGTTCCTCGTGCTTGCGACCGCATTAGACAGGTGCGGCAAACGTCGAATAATCCGGTCTCCTGAGATTTTCTTTGGAAGAAGCGTGCCGCTCGTGAGGAGACTTTGGCGTGGCCACGACTGGGTTGCTTCGCATGCTCCCAGCAGGGTCGCCATCTCCTGAAGAGCTTCCTCAGGAAGGCGCGGTAGATCATGTGAACTCAATCGATGCACTCCCATGGCCGCCGTCGCCTGGATCTTTTTCAAGGCGTCCCGCAAATCCTCCACCGTGATGGGTGGAAGGGGCCCGTGTTGAACTCCTCTCCCGAATGTCACAATATAAGCTCTCAAGGTCTTCAAGTTCGACATACTCGCCGTCCTTGGGCAAGAAAGATGGCGCCCAAAGCTTCTCCCACTCCGGACTCTTATAGTCAAGGACGTCTCGTGGGTACAGTATGGCCTGACCATCGACGATGACATCGTGCGCCTCAGGCATGGGATCCTGCAGCTTCTTGTGCAGTCTGCCCAGTGCTGGTGCTGTCTCCGCCCGCTCTCGAAGTTCGCCCATGGCTTGCTCGGTGGCGCGCCTCCGACTCCGACTGGCCAACTTGTCGGTTGCCTGGGCGCTGACATCCTAGGTGGCGAGATCACTGCCAAAAAATGTCCCAGCTAATGAGCCCACTAGTCCCAGTGGAAACTGTCGGTCGGCCGATCAATAGGAGGTGCCCTTTCAGGGATGTCGCCCAACAGGCGCCGACCAGCACTGTGTAATATACCCAGTTGCTCGGCACCTCCAGCTCTTCGCGAAAGTGTCTCGTAATGCTGCTTATGCTAGTACTGGCTCGAGTCCACCAGCTGCAAACTCTGTCTCGAAGTGGTGCGGCCCGAGACGGTGTAGCCTGTCGAACACTGGCCACCTGACACTGAGGAGCCTCTCCGCGCGTCACCCTCGAGAAGAACCTGCTTATGGTGAGTGCATGCGGTAGCCTTAACTGTACAAATCCAGCTGGCGTGCAAGGCGCTCAACGCAGCCGAGACGTTTGAGCCGAGGTGGTAGGCTATGGTGCAAACGATCGCGGGAGCAGGCGGGCATGAGAGGGCAGCGGTGAGCCCGGCGCTCGGCCTTTCTTCCATCCACGTGCTGCTAGGAATGTGGACTTCGGGCTGCCACATTTGCGTTTCGGACGGCCCCTGGGCGGCTCCTCCGAGGACACCCCCTGGGCGGCTGGGGTCGGGGAAACTATCGACTCACGCGGAGCCGAATGATCACTACCTGACTGTCTGGTTGCATGGTTGGTTCGCGGCTGACGCAGATCGGGCGAAGAGAACTATGCACATGCACCTGTCCTGGCCAGGCCCATCCTTGGCCCCAGGATCGGTGCACATGCCTTTCTGGCCAAGGCAGGAGGGCGTATGCACCGATCTTGGGCTCAGGATGGACCTGGCCAAAAGCGGTGTATGTGCATGGTTCTTTTTCCTCTGACAGAGAGGTTGGGCGGCAGGCCAGAATACTGTCTCGTCCGCCCACGGGTCGTCCTCCGAGTGGCCGTCCCACTCGTCGCCTCGGCCGAGGGGTTCACCCCCGCCCTCGCAGTGGGTGTCCACGTCGCTGAGGGCCGAGGTGTGGGCGCGAGGGGGAGAGGAGGGATGAAGGGACGAAACAGACCCGCCGACACCACCATTAAGTCGGGCCTGTCCCTCTACAGGGGGAATATTCGAAAATAGTCAACAATAGTCAGGGGACTATTTATTGACTGTTGAAAATCCCCCTTGTAGGGGGACACGCCCGACTGAACACCAGCATCCTCTTTCTCATCTAAGCCGTGCCCCTGGGAAAGCCAGTAAAGCATTGAGCATCACGAGCCCGCTCGGCCTCCAACCTTGAAATCGGCCTATTGGTCTTGGCAATGCTGGAGTTGGACCCAGGAGTCGCCGGACGAGAGGGTTTGCAGATTGACGGTAGCTTAGCATGGAGGTCAAGGTATTTGGTGTACAATTGGGCACCCTCAGACAGTAACTCCACACTGATTCCGATGTGAGGCTTCCACGGCACAGCAGCGACAGGCAACACATGACGTACGTATGCACGCGCAGAGTGGCTCACAATCAGATAATCCAAGTGACTGGGCGTTTTCCCTCCAGCAGGCGTGCACGTGTATTGCGTGCCATAGCAAACAATCTGACCGCCGACTCGCTCGAGCCAGCCTGAACGTGTGATGGCCTCTGGTGCAAGGTTCCAGTCAGCTGCCACGATCCATGGAATCTGTAATGATCGAAGCAAACGTCCTATTGTAGTGGCCTCCAGCCAGTGCCGCCGATCCGTGGCGCTCCGACTGATGTGATCCTCCTTCGCCCTCGTTCCTCCTCTCTTTTTTCCTCCCTCCCCTTCCCACTCTGCATTTATCGAAGACGCCTACGGCGAATCACCGCCGCCCCCTGCCTTTTTGGAAGCGCCTATGTGGCCGAACGTTGAGGCCAGACCTGCCAAGCTATCGGACCACGTGTTCCCCGAATCGGTTTGGAAAGCCTTCGGGGAACACGTGGGCATCTTGAAGGTCATCTTGGCCGTCTTGGAGGCCTCTTGGGCAAGCTTTGGGCGATCTTTGGGGCTTTTTGGGCCGTCTCGGGCCAGCTTCGAGCCAACTTCGGCCATCTTGGTGGGTTCCTGGCACGTCTGAAGCCGTCGGAAGCCGTTTGGGGGGCCTCTATGGGCCGACTTGGGGCCCGCTTGGAATGCTCCAGGGCCGTCTTGGAGGCCATCTTGGGCGTCTGGGAGGCCATCTTGGGCGTGTTGGAGGCCTCTTGGGCCCTCTTGGGGCCCTCTAGGGGCCATCTTGGAGGCCACTTGGGCCATCATGGGGCTCTCTTGGGGGCCTCTTGGGCGATCTTGGGGGCTTCTTGGGCCGTCTCGAGCCGTCGGAGAGCCGAAAAGGCGCAAATGCCAGAATCCTTCAAAAACCAAGGAAAAATCAATGATTTTGGCCTCTTCGGACTCTCCTGGAGGACCTCTTGGAGGCCTCTTGGGCCGTCTGGGAGGCCTCTGGGGGGCCTCTTGGGCCGTCTTGGGCCGTCTTGGACTCTCTTGGGCCGTTTTGGAGGCCGTCTTGGACCATCTCGGGCGGACTTGGAGGCCATCTTGGGCCATCTTCGCGATTTTTTGAGGATGTCCCGAGCGAAACGGCGTTTTTTGGAGGATTTATTCCGGTTGTTGAGCACGTTTGGGGGCCTTCCGGGTGGCCGGCGGGTTCTGCCGGAGCCCACTGGGGAGTTCTTTTGGAAAAAGAACCAAAACCAAAACCTGAAACATCCAGCACGCCGTGCACCCCTGCAAGCAGGGGGCGGCGGATCGAAGACGCCTACGGCGAATCACCGCCGCCCCCTGCCTTTTTGGAAGCGCCTATGTGGCCGAACGTTGAGGCCAGACCTGCCAAGCTATCGGACCACGTGTTCCCCGAATCGGTTTGGAAAGCCTTCGGGGAACACGTGGGCATCTTGAAGGTCATCTTGGCCGTCTTGGAGGCCTCTTGGGCAAGCTTTGGGCGATCTTTGGGGCTTTTTGGGCCGTCTCGGGCCAGCTTCGAGCCAACTTCGGCCATCTTGGTGGGTTCCTGGCACGTCTGAAGCCGTCGGAAGCCGTTTGGGGGGCCTCTATGGGCCGACTTGGGGCCCGCTTGGAATGCTCCAGGGCCGTCTTGGAGGCCATCTTGGGCGTCTGGGA